TTCTTTTATATGGAGGACACTGCCAGCGGTAGGGGCAATATGTACTATTGCACAAAAAGAGCTGCAAGGTGGCGCTGGAGTCGATATATTGGTAAAAATCTTCAAGTGGAGTCAGTCGGTGACACCAATGATCAAATTACCACCATTAAATCAACCACCACAACCATTGCGGTCCTTACTTTACGGCGACTGAACAGAATAAAGACAATTCTTGATAAATGCCTGCCAATACAATTGTTAGACATCTGAGGTACTTCGTATGAAATAAGTACAACTTATAACTAACTATTTTTGGACATAAAATATCAATAAAAAAACATTATATTTTTTATTTTTTTTACATTTTTATTTATTTAATATACATTTTTATTTATTTAATTTAAATTTTTATTTATTTAATTTACATTCAACACTGCATATTTGTTTATTTGTTTACATATTCCGCAGTAAATGGTCCTATATTCGAATTCTGTCAGACATAACATCAAAATGATAATATAAAATCTCGATCTTCATTTCATTTGATCTGAATTCGAAAAAATATTTGTGAAGTGCAGAAAAAAATGTTTTCAAAGCAGTTTTTGTATGAGGATTTTAAATAGAAACTTGCAAAGAAAACAAACTCCCGATTGCTTCTGCATGACTTCTGCACGACTTAACAACTCACTTTAAGTTGGTTTTGTCATAGCTAATTAAAAGTACAAGTTGGTTAATTTTAACAATTAATAATTTTTCACTTCAGGGTATGTATGTCGATGGTCAAACATGGACAACTCATAACTGAGCATTTTTCCGAGGAGGAATTTTATACATAAACAAATTGCTTACAACAGCCGTCATCCATTCGCCACTTCGCTGCTTGCTATGTTTGAGTTCCGATCGCTTAACGAAAAATTTTGCATGTGAAAGCAACAACAAAGTTAGCTAGCACGGATAAACGATAGCGAGTTTGGTTGTACCTCATTGAGTTCGTTCGTTTCGCCACTTGCTAACTGTTGGCGAATCGATGACGGCTAATATTTACAATTTTTTAGTGTATACACGGTGTCCTAGACCATCTGTCCACCCTCTCTAAAATGAAGGGGAAACGTTTTTTTTTATTGAAAACCGCGAAAATGTTTCCTACTAAACCGGGGATGCTCTATCTTTGGTGTTATTATCGACTCGGGTTTCGGCTGGAGGGGGGTTAAACTGACCGGAAGTCCATTTTTTCAAATTAGATATGCATGTTTTTAGTACAGATTCTAAGGATAAAAATACGTAACTTTTGTTTGAAACTTTTTTCTCAGAAACACCGTTTTCAACGCCTAAATGACCGTCGACCTTAAACTCTTCCTGGACTTCTGAAATGAAAGAAAATATTTTTATTGGAAAACAAAGGAATATGAATTACCAAGTCGAGGACGCTCTATCATTTGGTCGTATTACCGACTTCCGGTTTCGACCGGAAATGGGTGATACTGACTGGAAGTCAATTTCTTTAAATGGGATTAAATATGTTTAACACTGATACGGATTCTGCGCATAAAAATACATACATACATACCTCTTGTCTGAAACTTTTTTCCTTTGGACCGGAAGTAAGTCAAACTGACCAGAAATCCATGTTTTTTTTTTTTCAAATTACACATGTATGTTTTTACTACAGATTCGGATTCTGTGGACAAAAATACGCAACTTTTGTTTGAATATTTTTTCACGGAAGTGCCTTTTTGAATACTTTTCTATAGGAATCGAGTACGAGTTAATGTTCGAAGGTCATTTAGAGATTGAAAAAGGCACTTCCGAGAAAAAAAGATTAAAAAAAAAATTGTGTTATTTAAAAAAATGGACAAAAAGTATGTATTTTAATGCGCGAAAACCGAATCAATGTTAAAAAATGAAATCCCATTTAAAAAATGGACTTTCGGTCAGTACAACGCATTTCCGGTCGAAACCGGAAGTCTGCAATACGACGTAATACGACCAAAAGATATAGCGCCCTCGACTTGGCAATTCATATTTTTTGGTTTTACAATAAAAACATTTTGGTCCATTTTGGGAATCCAGGACGAGTTGAAGTTCGAATGTCATTTAAGGGTTGAAAAAGGCGCTTCTGGGAAAAAAGTTTCAAGTTTAGTATCCAAATCTGTACTAAAAATATGCATATCTAATTTGAAAAAATTGACTTACCGTCAGGTTAACCCACTTCCGGTCGAGACCGGAAGTCGATAATACCACCGAAAGATAGAGCATCCCCGGTTTAGTAGGCGACATTTTTGTGGTTTTCAATAGTCTAGCACTAACTAAATTTCAAAAAAATTGTTATTTATGAATTGTCAGTGTTTGATCATTGATATGAATACATGTATGCTACTAAGTAACATGATGTATTGTCTCAGTTGTTGGTATAACCTAGACAACTCTTCGAATAGTAAATTCCAAGCTTGCTTCGAGCTCAGCATAACTATAATTGGAGAACATATCAGTATTTACCCAAAGCACGTTAGCTGTCCCCCCAAGGAAGTAAAAACGTTCATCACCTTTGTTCTACATTTCCTGTGACTAGTCACACAGTATCCAAAAATGATTGACCATCAGGCAAAAATAGTAAGTTTTTCGTAATTTGAATGTAGGGATATTCCAGCGTGGCGGGTGGAACATTGATCGGATCTGAATCAAATTAGTATGGGACCACCCCTGAGCTATGCAGCAAATAGAATGTTAAAGTCCATTTCATGCTTTGAAGGCATTATTATATTTGAAACTTAAAAATGAGTGGTTGGGACAAGTAACTATTGAGGACACATAGTTCGTAAGTAAAATGAACACTACTGTGGCTCGTTTCTGTAACTTATCTCTACCGATTATTTCTAATGGTAGAGAATATATGTACATACAGGGCGGCGAATTCATATCTCAATTCACCTTGGTAAGAATTGTTACAGAAACGAGCTACTGGTTTGCTGTGAATATTTATTATACTTTTAATCAGGGTTGAGCAAATTTTAATTGTAAGGACAATTAACAATCAATTAATTCATTAATTGTTAATTGTGATTTTCTGCAGAAAATTGGCAAAACCTGGGGTCTGAGACCGGCTATGGTATTCTAAGTATATATAGTTTTAGTCAGACCAATCGCCACGTACTGTGCTGTAGTATGGTGGCGCAGAGCCATGACCAAAACAACGGTTTCTGTGTAAAACAGGCTACAAAGGAAGGTGTGTATAGGCATTACGGGCGCCATGATAACAACGCCAGGACCGGCTCTTAATGCTTTGTTGGATTTGCCACCTCTAAATTTAGCGATCCCGGAGGAAGCCACGAAAATGATGTGTCGACTGCACTTTTTTGGATTGCGACACGAAGATCGGAATTCCGGGCACAGAGAGTTATGTAGAAGGTTGTCGTAGCAATACCGTTTGGTTTTGGTACCTAATGACAAAACGGATATCTGGGGTCTTCTTTGGAATAAAGTACGTCGTTAGATGTCATACACTCTCATGACAGCCGTGGTGTGGTATTGATACCTGCAAAACAGCCATACACAATAGCCATCAGCGACGATCTACTGTGTACATCTTGTTTGGAGGATGAGGATAGTACAAACCATTTTCTCTGCCGCTGTCCGCTGACTTAGATGATACATTTTTGGGTCGGATGTATTGAGTATAGCTTGACCATGTCGTTGGAATGGACTCCGACGCTCCGGCGCTGAAAGTATTCAACTCGGAACACGCTGGTGGTAGCAGAGGAAAAGGGAGGCCGCCACTGCAATGTGGAGAAGGACTTGGCTTCACTTGGCATTTCCAAATGGCGTCAGTTGGCACAGAAGAGAAACGACTGGCGTGCTTTGTTGAGCTCGACCAAAATCGCTTAGACGGTTGTAGTGCCAAATAAGAAGAAGAAGTAACAGGATGGTTCCGGATGCAGATGTACATGTATGTGGGAGAGTTTTATCTTGAATCACCAGGGAATGACCAAAAGCCATTATTTTTTGCATCCGGTTCAAGCTTACCAAGTATCCTCTGGGTAGCAACCGAACGCCCGTCCGGGCAAAAGCTGTATTAATTCTTTATCGCTATTGTCTTCAACTATGAATACACATCCCGCGAAAAAAAAAATTGGTCAAAAACCCAAATTTCAAAGATTGAATAAAATCAACAAAGTTTCACACTTTTTATTCAGAATTTGTAAAATTTGTTCATTCTAGTATAATAAGGTGCAAGTTTGTTGTATGGTTGAAAATTTGTTATATGGGAGGAAAACCGTCAACAAAAAAAAAAAACAATTGCAACTATTGGCAAGGGAGTAAACATCTACTCTGACTGATAGCTAAGCGGAAATAAAAATTTTGCTCTCCCTTACGATGCCCTTAAACCTAGAAGGGGAGTTCCTTACCTATCTTTCAGTTGCCCAGTTCAGTTTTTTCGCATCGGTGCCATTGGCTGGCCTTTATATTTCAAGGAATTGCGTTGATTCATCTTCCATGTTTGCTGATAATCATAGTTGCGGATGAATTTGCCAGGAAGGCACCGGAAGTTTGCGTCGATCTTGGGCTCGCAAGGCTGCAATCCTCAACTCTGGTGGGCACTGCTCGATTGGTATTTACGCTGCGGGACTAAATATCACGTCGGATCACCACTGTAGCAAATGTTGAGAGACAAACTGAACACTTTTTCCCAAGCTGCACATCCTTAACGAATATTTTGAATCAATACGTTTTGTAAAAAGGTACCGGAAATAAATAAAATAAGTTGTTCCTTGCAAAACTGTACCACTATGTAAATTGTCATCTAATATCCTTAGCTTTTTTAAAGCTATACATCACATATTGATTCAGCTTGTTTTTTTTACCGTTTTCTCCGGAAGAGTTCTGACAGTGATTATCCCAGTTGCACTGCTGGTCACACTGAATCTCAACGTCTATACAATTGTTCTCTCTTTAGTAAAACCACCTTTCTCTTGAATTCGATGCTCCAAGATTTCGCAGTGCTCATCACTTGTACGTTCACCCACTTTTTCTTTAGTAAGAGCTCCAATGGTATATGATTTTAGCAACCATTTTCAGTTCGAGTTTGTATTTCGTTTGATGCGAATGGCAGGCGGTTGATAGTGTCGCGCGATTAAGCGACTTTTTTCTAGTATACAGTGCTATAAAATTTTTCAATAACAAGTGGTGTGAAGAGATATACAGATTAAAAAGCAACACTTGAATATGTTATTTTACTTATTTTTCGGCGTGAAAAGTGTTTTATTTAAGGTGTGTTTCTTGCTGATAATATTTTGTTGGTATACGAATTTTCTGTTCATGAGTTCGTAGTAGTGTATGTAAAGCAAAATGGGAAAGATGTTTATCGGATTAATAATCGGCATGAAAAAAGTTGCAGAAAATCTATAATTGCCACGATGAAAGAAAAAATACGATTTTGAAGAAGTACATGTGTATAAGTATATGTATAAGTATGTATATGTACACATGTACAAAGGAAAGCAGATAGCAAGCGGATACTCAAGAAGCTAGTGTGTGATGTGGAGGTTTTATACTCAAAGCTAAAAAGTTATAAGTTAAAAAGGAATGTGAAAAAGAATGTTAAAAGTACATAATCGTACTAAAAAGTTAAAATTCAAAGGAGTGAATAAATATAGACAAAATTTAAGGAATTTATTTGTACTTGGATAAAGGTTTTTTATTGAAATAAAATTTCTTTGAACATTGACTTACAATAGATTTTTCCAAAAAACCGATCCCATACCATTTCGGTCTCTCTGCGCTTAAATTTACTCTCAGTATTTATACAGCAATCGACTTAATGTCGCCGTGTGCTGACGTCGTGATATGGTCGTTCTTATACGAATCCCCACTTCTACCATATGTACATTTTTTTTTTGTTTTTTTTTTTATTTACATGCGTATGAGTATATGGGTATACGTATATTGCCAGCTCGCACACGTCCCTCATTTATACAGACCTCTTCGATATATGGCTGTACAAAAACTCCACTTAGCGCTACGGAATTTTTACCTTAACATGCATACGTATGTACATAAGTACATTTACATATGTATGTGTGTATATATTGTGTGTGAACTGGTGAAATCTATAGGAACATCATGAAATGCAGAACATTTTACTAATCGTTCATATTTTGGATCCGAGTTTTGTAAATATCTACGCGGACTAACTTAATTTAAGAGTTATTAAAAAGATAAATTATCGTTTATATAAATCTATAGTTTATCCATACATACCTACATACATTCATATCGTCGTTTAAAGTGCAAAACCGCGTATCAACAAAATGCCGAACCGCGTATGTGAAGTTTTAGAAATCATTTTCTAGAGTGTAAAAACACCCATATTTCAACATGGTTCCCTGTTTTATAAAGAAATCGCACTTCTGGCTAGTATATTTCAGGACGAATGGATAAGGATTGAGCCAAGAGCTTGTGTGAGCAAATCCAATTTTTGGCAGCCAATGTCAGCTACGCGGTTTTGTACTTTAAACGACGATATGTACTTGGACGTGAACACGTACATACATATCTACTACGTTTATATTATGTTTCATGAAATACATTAAATTTTGTTTATGCAAGCATTTTTATTTGCGTTTCATGAAATGATTTCATGAAATGACAAACGAATAAACGTGGTAACAGATGCATGCAATTTGATGTGTACATTTAAATACATTCGTAAATATGAATGTATGCATAAACATACATACATACTATGTATGTACATATCTACCGCATGAATTTGTGAATTTCGGAAGTGTGGACCTTATCACATTCACATACATACATATGTACATATATATGTATGTATTTAGATTAAGCTCCGTGACAATCGTTTTGCACAAATTTTTAAAACTTGCGCTTTCACCTTGCATTCTATATTTTTGACACTTCTACATAATTTTATAGAACATCAACATATTCATAATTAAACATACATAGTTTTTATGAATAACATACATATATAGATATATCTCAATATGTACATGCATACTGTGTTTGTGTGTATGTACAACTGCGGTCAAGATTATAGCATCAAAATTCAAAATGTTATTAGCTTGAAGTCTGACTATTCAAACTTTTTATGAAGATATGATATTGTTTGCACCTTATACGGTTGACAAACGGGCTCGCTTATTTGCATAAACAGCCTTTATTTGCTTTGACTCATGCATTTTCCTCTTTAAAATGCGCATAAGCAGCCGAACAAATGCACGAAATTTTTGGGAATTAACTCGGATCCGGGTTTTCGTTGACAACACTGGTAAAAACGGCCAGCTATTGCCTTTTGTACAAGTAACCAAACAAAGCACGCAAGTTCCGCGTCTGCGGTAGCCGAGTGATAAGCTGAAATTAGTCAAGAACGTAAACCTACCGGTACGTAAACCCGAATCAGCTGACACGATCTGTCTTACCAAAGCGCCATGTAAATGAAAACTCAACACGGCAGAATTTTTCTGTAGTTGTAGCCCGTAGCGCAGAAATCTGCGGAACTTAGATTTTTCCGTGTCAGCTGATTTCTCCTTCTTTAGATGGTTGCCACTTCGTCAGTTTTACAGATGGTAAAAAAGATATAAGTTCCTATTCAAAATATGTTTAAAATATTTGAAATTTACTATTGAATAAGGTTTTTGTTGAAAACTAAGTAGTTTATATTTAGCTAAAATCTATTGTAGCACGAAAAATTGTAGTTGAAAGGGTAAGTTTATGAAAAGGCATTGATGAGTGGCAACAGTGTAGTAAGCAACACTGAGGGCTCCAGTAATCGACAAAATTCTGCGTGTACAGACTGCGTTTAAGTATACGTTCTGCGTTCTCGACTAATTTCAGCTTTAAAGCGCAAACAGTCAACGACGTAACGTAGACGTAGGTTGACGCAGACACGATCTACCTTATGGGATTCGCGTACTAAAGAAAACTCACCACCGCATGGCGGTGACGTTGGCGTTGCTTCGCTCTCTCTCTATCAACAGTAAATTTGATATGCTGCTACGTACGTCAACCTACGTTTACGCTACGTCGTTGACTAACTGCGCTTTTAGGAGTTACGGGCTACAAGCCTGTAGCTACTGGGTTCGATCCTCGGTTGGAGCGATTGCGAAAAAATTTTTTGGTTTTATTATTTATTTTATATTTTATTTTATTTGATCTATATATTTAACTTTACTTTATTTTATTTTCATTTGCTTTATTTTATATCACATTTTTTATTTTACTATTAGTTAATTTAAATTGCGGCTCGTTTATCCGCATAACTGCCGTCTGTTAGATCAAAATTATTATGCGCATATGTGTGCCAGATTATACCCTGCAGGAAATTGAATTAGTTTGATGGTAATTTATAAACTTCTTTATTTTTAATGATAACTAATCGAAATTCTCACTATTTTACCTGCAACGAGCTCATTTATTTAACATGTCAATTACCTTTTCCTGCATGTATTTTCAACTACTTTAAAATGAATTTGACTTATACTAGGTTCACATATAAGTAGATTATCCTCATTTTCGAGCTTAACACCCTAATCTGTAATTATAACAAGAGATTCGCCATATAAAATTCGTCCCTTGTTAATCTGTAATTATAAAATAATCTCAGATTTAACCGATAACTTTTCGGTGTCCATCCTAGTTTTATCGATTGTTTTTGCGAAAGAGAGGAGAAATGCCAAATGGAAAAGTAAACAAAAATGTACGCTAGCAAGTAAAAGAGGTTTGTAAAGGTATTTTTAATAAAATGTTAAGTTAAAATATATTTATATTGCTTATTATAGCAGAAAAACGTGATCACGGTGGCACAGAGAAGAAACATAAATTTTCCTTGAGATGTGAGAATAACAAGCACAACAAATTTGACGGCTGATATCTGAGATTTGCCTGTGTAAACGGGGTGATTAAAAAACGAGCTTTGATTGAGATAATATTGATATGTGAACATAGTTTTAAACAACTTCAAAGTCAGTATGTTTCGTTTGAATACGCTTTCGTTCTGCACTTCACAGATGGTTTTTCATAACTAAGAAAAACCAAAATTAAAAATTTAGAATTTAATGAGATTTGAACATGGAAATTCTTGGCTGCGACCAATTGTAGCAAACATCTTTGCACGCTCAGCTACAGCCAGTCATGTAAATGTGCTTTCAAATGTTCAGTTTGAATTGTGTGCAAGCAGCAAGTCGACTGTCCGACTCTGCATTTAATTTCAACTACTTTAAAATGAATTAAAATGTTTCTTTTGAATACGCTTGCGTTCTGGACTTCACAGATGCTTTTTCATGCTTCCAAGACACAAATTGTTTTTTTTAGCAAAAATAATATAAAAATTCGAAACATTTACTCATTGCATTTGTTTTAATGTAGTCTTTCAATTAGTTGATTTAACAAAAATCACTTGTTTCCGTCAGGGTATGCATACGCTTTGCCGTCTGTCACAGCTTTTACAAACAGAAACCGCGCAAATGAAAGTTTCAAGGCTGGCACAAACAAATGTCATCAAAGTTTCGAACTTTTTATTCATAATTTTTGGAAAATATATATGGAAGATAATGCGCAAAACCCTCGGCAAAAACAATATTCAAAAATCAACGGTAATTTTGAAACTTGCACTTTATTTACTATGCTGTTTTCTCAAGTAGCTTTTATTATTTATCTGCCCTTCTTACACATTTTTTGAGAACAAAGCTTGTATTTAAAGGGCAGATAAATTTGGAAAGTTACTTGAGAAAACCGCCCTAAAATTGAATGAGCTAGAAACCTGCATAATCAAAAATTCTATGAAAATTCTGAATAAAAAGTTTCATCTGTTGGAAACAATATTTTAAAGTTTGATTAATTTTTTGTACTTTTGTGCAAGCTTTTAAACTTTATTTATGTGATTGAACTGTGTTTTAAATGAAAATTATTAGAAATAAATAAATAAACAAAAGTTGCAAACAATGTCATACTGAATTTTGGATCTATTATTTTGACCGTAACTGTACATATGTACATACATACATACTTTTGTATTTATGTGCCTTAAAACACATACATACATATATGTTCATGAATGTGAATGTGTACGTATTCTTACGTCGATTTCTTGTTTATATTGGTTCTTGCTTACGTACTGAAAACGTAATTTTTCGCTCATTTCGTTTTCGGCACTTTTGCCGCCTTCTCTACTTTGTTTAAATATTTTCAACTCAACCATCAACACCTCTTTTCAGTCCACCTTATTTATTCATCAATTAACTCGTGTTGGGTGCTAATGTACATACTTACATAAGAGTGTAGTAGTCACCGCGACTTTCTGTTTAGGCCATTTCCGTTTGCTCATATGTTTCGTATACATATTTACCCGTTTCTTCTGAACACTTTTTCATATTTCTATTCGCATTTTTAATACTATTCAGGTACACAAGTACACACATACATATGTATATACATATGTACTCTTAGTTTTTATGGCGTTTACAAGTGCTAATAAATACATACATATGTGCATACATACATACATATGTACAAATCCTATACAAGTGTATATATATGTACATAGGTATATGTTAAGGGCAAAATTTTGTTATGCATTTTTAGCAAATTAAAAAAAAAAATCGCTACAGGTACTGATCTCTTCGACCATGGTTTTACCAAAACGGATTTTAAAACTTTTTATGTTTTATTAAAACCCACTGAACGTTTGAAAAGATATTTACATACATACGCATGTAATAATACCTTCTTAAAAGAAAATTATTTAATTAATAGGTAAAATATCCAAGTACCCATTTTATTTTAAATCAAAATCTAAACAAGTGCCGAATAATACATATGTATTGTATAAAAAATACATAATGTGAAACAATAATTAGATTGAAAAAAGCAAACGAGCGGTGTATTTTGATGTGAAAGTTACGAACTCATTGTAAATATTAAGCCGATTATAATAAAAAACTTTAAGCAAATATAAAGAATAACATCGTTGAATAATTAGATATATGGAGTAATAAAATTGATACATAAAAGTTGATTGAAAAGAGCAAAAAATTAAATTGCAAAGTGAAATTCAAGTGTCTGGAAGTAATCGGTTTCATACCTAAATATGTATAAGAGGTTATGAACGAACCTAAAAGTTTGCTAAATGGAGTTGTGCGAATATTTTGAAAGCAAAGCTAAAATTAATATATGTACCTAAATATAAGACGAAAAGCAAATGTCTAGTGAATGTGCATAATCAATTAATAATTTTTAATGAATTTTCCCGGAAAAAATTCGATTTAAAACATAGTAGATAAGTGGAAATCGTATAGTGAGCCAGTACCTAACTAAGATGAATTTCTGAAGGTAGGCAATTGAATGCGCAATTTTATTTTACCTCTAGTTGTATGTATGTAAATCAAAAACTGTACTTCCAATGTGTTTAATACATTTCTGAGACTTATGGTGTTTTTGTTTCTTCCAAAAAATGTTGCCCTTCCCCGGTGCAAAATATGTTTGATGTTACACTCAACCCTGTAAAGAGGCATGTTTTTGCCGCTTGGTCCTTATGAAGCTAACGCATTTAATAATATTGTCATATTAAAAACCCATCCGATTTTCAGGACAACCATCTTCCCTGACAAAGCTTCACAGGGCAGAGAATGTGCCTTTTTTGCCTTATAAGAGTGTGGCATTCTAAGAAGTTAACACAAAACTTTCTCACCCTTTGCTTTTAATTTAGAATCGAACATAAAAAGAGAAAAGGGCAATCAAAAGGCGACACTTTTTCGGTAGAAATGAAATCACCATTAGAAAAAATCTAATTTTGTTAAATAACACTGGTCGACTGACAAAAGGCAAGAGCGGCATTCATACTTCTAGGGTATATAAGAGAGGTTGATTCCGAATATACATATCTACCAATCGTTTTTTAGATTAGTTCTTGTGTGCTAATTTTCGAGAACATAATTTGTACGCCTAATTATGACGCTTAATATAAAGTTCAGACAGAAATTTAGTTAAGTCAATTAACCTTTTAATTGAGCTACCGCTTTTTGGTGTTACTGCGTGGAACCGTGGGAGTTCAATCTCTGGTCCGAACAACATCTACAGTAGAAAAAAGTTGGGTGCGGATTCCATATTAGACGCTTATACCGCCGAGTGACAGTAAAGTTGCCATTCGTACTATTTTTTCTTTAATCGACATTCCTCGAACGTTATTAAGAAAATTGTTCGGCTATCTCTATTTCTCTACATAACATACATACATATGTACGTTTGTTAGGCGAAAGTCTTGCAATAAATTTTTGGTCAACTTCCCGATGACCTAGAGACTTGAAGCTTCACAGTTGGCTCAAAAGCCGATGACAATGCAATACCGAGTTACTCCGATAGGTGGCGCAGGAGTCGAAATATTTGAAAACCCCGTATTTATAGTCCGATTTGGTCACATTTAGAACGTATATTAACTGCATAAAAAAGAATAACTCCACTGAAAATTTTGCCGATGGGTAGCGCACGAGTCGATATATTTGGTTAACCAGTAAAGCTTGCTTTAAAAAGATTTAGTTTTACAATTAACTAATTTTATTATTGATTTTTTAATATACTTTAACGTAACTGTAACAAACTCAAAAGCGGCCGTACTGTAAAAGGTTTTGAGAACGATAGTGCTAGAAAATGTAAAATTTTACGACGCAAATGTCAGATCGACTCAAACGACATACATAATTGTTGCGAAATCTATGAACTTGTGTAGTGACCGTCGTATTAGGCATTTGAACAAGATATCAATATATGCAGTTTCAATTTACGTAACAACAGCAGTTTAACCAGGAATTAGTAATCAATTGTGAAAGAAATTACGAATAGGTTATTAAGCTTATAAGCGTCGATACCACCGCTCAGAGAAAGAAACAAATTAAAAATTATGAAAACTTAAATAACTGAAAATTACCATTTAACTTGCCTATCATTAGCAATGAAGTACTAAAATAAAAGTCTATTGCACTCGATTTTTAGATAAAGCTTTTTCAAGGTCAAAGTTAGAAAATTGCTTTCTTTTTTCTATATGTAATACAAATTTTATATACATAAGTACATACGTACATATAAATAACATACTCACATACAATCAATACATAAAAAGTATTGATTCTTATTTTCTATGTATTTATGTACATACATATATACCCTTGTGCTCAACTAATTAAGCCAGCAACATTTTGACCAGTTGTGGCAATTTTTATTTTCTTTATTTAATGTTTGTTATTTGTAGCACAATTGTAGTATATTAAAACACCATATAAAGGTGGCCGAAAACAGATGCAGTGCTACCGATGCGATATATAATATGTTAAAACATGTTTTCTAACCGATTAAAGAAATAAAAAACCGATTTGAAAACAAATTTGAGTCAATGCACTTTTGAATTTCTGAGCGGATTGAAATTTGGTTTATGCATCCGTTTTGAATCACAGGGAACTGGGTCAAAATGCTATTTGATGCGATCTATATGAAGCAAAGGCCCACAAACTGGTGCGATAAGATACACTGCGATATGACCCAAACACGATGCCGGTTTGCATAATGAGATGGTTACATATCATGGTTGAACCTGTTGTTTTGTAGCAGGCTTTCTTAGGTGACAAAAAGTCAAAAATCTGCACTAAATCCTAAACTAAAACTGTATACCACATCTGTTTGAGCACTGCCATTTACCGCAATGCTTTGTATTGATCGCATATCGTAAAATTTTGTATCGCAACGTATCGCATCTGCTTGAGGCCACCTTAAACCCGCATTTTCCAGCTTTGTACAAAAATTATAAAAACTAAAAAAATGTTCATCCAATTTTTAAACTTTTTATTCAGAGATAGGCGATATGAGGACTTCGGTTTGTATGGGAGATGTCAGCCCCCTTTTCTAACACTTTTGCGCCATAAGGAAGGTATTTACAATTTATGCATCCGTCTTACTGTGTACTCGAAAAAATTCTAACACTTCCGAGAAAAAAGTTTGAAACTTAGGTGAAAATTTGTTGCACTTTTTTGAAGTTTTCTACAAATTGTTAAACTTGGGTTTATATGGGGTTTGTTAGAGAAAGAACTGTATTTTAATTGAAAATTCTTAAAAATAAATAAATAAACATAAGTGGCACACAATATCACTTTGAAATGGCGTGCTATAGATATAACCGATACTGTATGTAGTCCAAAAAGTTTTAAATTAAAACCGAAAATTTCAACCGTGTATTCATCATTCTCCCAGTGTATCAGAATTGTAGGAACTCTCGGCCACGATGCCACCTATCGTGTAAGTTTTTAGTCCAAATATTTATTTTCAGTTGAACAACAAATGTTCTAAATATGAGTAAATGCAGTTTTTAGGAATAACGCGACCGCAGTGCCACCTAGCGATTAAACTTTTAGTCGGAATATTTCCTTTCAAGGTGCTGACACAGTATATTACAAATACGAACCAAATCGGTCCAGCCGTTTAGTAGTTTAGTGACATTCAATGTACAGAAAATTCTATGAAATTGTGAAATCGTGACGTCTCACGTTCTTCATTTTTTGGCAACAACAACAAATAGTATTGATTTTTTTTTTTTAGCGAAAAACCTTCCACACAGAAGGTCCAACAAGCACTTTTTACAAAATCGAAATCGGTTTAGCAGTTTGGTCAGGCATCGCGGTCATACGAAAGCCGATTCATTTATATTGTACTCTCTCTCCCACGCTTATTTGACGTAAACCCGGAGTAGTTATAGCTGATTTACCTTTGGCGGTAGGTTGCAGTGCTTCCTAGCTGATGCGAACACGTCTGTTTAAATAAAGTTATTCCCAACTTTTCCACCAAATAAGCGATGTTGCGCTATATATATGTGATATTTCGTTAAGTTTTGATTGAATAAATCCTGATTCATACGTCATGGTTTTCAACTTGTTTTTCAACGTCGGAACATTCCTGTCAGAAAGTCCATTAGTACTTGGGTCACAACAAAGTGGCTACAAAATACATTTGAATTTTGGCAATTTTTATGTTAACGGTGGTAGACATTTTCTTCCATTTAAAAAATTATGTGACATGGTAGAAAATGCGCAACATTAGAATTTTTATAATTTTTGTATAAAAACATAATGGGCTAGACTTGTAAAAAAAAGTAACAAACATTAAATAAACAAAATAAAAATAACCAAAAACTGGTTAAAAGGTCGCTGGCTTAATTAGTCGAGCAGAACTGTATATGTATTTGTATACTAAATATTATCACCTACAACAACAATGGCATTACCCGGCGAAATATGCAAAAAGAATAATCAAATTCTACATTTATACGTCAGATATTTTCAAATACTGAGGTCAGTAAGGCGGTTTGTATTCAGAAACCAAATTCTTCTCGTACCCGTATTCTACGTACATACATATGTATGTACTATAAATAAATCTATGTTTACAAAAAAGTTTTAAAATTAGGTATTCAAAAATAATGAGCACTGTTGCCAACTTTGTGCTTTTTTTAGTTTAGAGAAACCAAATCGGTAAATCAGAAACAAAATGGAAATTAAATTTATAGCAATTGGAAGTTTCGTAAGCAATTTTACAAAAATGGAAACCAAATCATGGCACAATGGCAATCATCAGGGAGAGAGTATGTAGCAGCACTTGCAAGCATGGCAGACTTACATTCGGGGAAGTGCCATTGCCTGCCGAATGGCGTCTGCTATTAGAAATACTTTCATGTGGCTGGGACCAGGCACCGAACCCTGAGCCTAGCACTTCAAACTGCTGGCCGCCACACGGTGAGAAAAAATCACATAAAGATTTCTTTCCACTGTGCGCCGGTGGATAATAGCTGGAAAAAAGGGAAATCAAATTTCATAATGGGTATTCACTTAAACGCGTAAATGCCTCGCAACCGCGTAAGCCGATTACCGATAAAACCGATTTTCCGAAGTTCTTAATGTTTCTTTATTATTATTATTTAGTTCACGATATCATTAGAGACTGCAGTTTGCTTAAATATAAAACACAAGAACCTTAAAAGTCTGTTTCCACAGCCCGAAATCGCGAAATTTCGACATCAATTTCAATTTGAAATTGTAGCTGTTTACCATCTCAATTGCGATGACAGTTTGTTTATTTGTTTGTTGTTGCTTTTTCAGTTTTGTTTTGCTCGGTTTGTTTGTTTTATTTGTATTTGCTTGTTATTGACGTTTGCTTTTCTTCTTTTAGCTGATCATGATTCAATAATACAAGGTTAGATAATTATTGACAGCTGCGGTTTGACACTCCCTTACAAAAGCTTGCATTTACGAAGGACGGAGAAAGGGGAAGAATGAAATCTCTTGATGCGAAAATTG